TGCAGCTAACTTGATTATCACCTATTATCCCATGGTTCAAGAGGACTTTTAAGTGAAGTATAGCATTACCAGTCGAGGCAGACACCGACTGCTGCATAAGCACTGAAAATGCGACTACCAGCGATGCGGGTCCGATGCGGGTCACCTCACAAGCAACTGGCTGGATAGCCATTCAAGCAGCTTCAGTTTTCTTTATTGGCATGCCATTCAGATCCGTATCATGCGCTATGAGAGGTGGTGCAAAGCAACACTAAAACCGAGTAGGTAGCTTGTACGCAACCTGCTGAACTAATTGGCAGCGTGCTTCTCCGCATGGGCTCCGAAGCATTGGCACCCTGCTGCCGAAAAAGCAAACGAAGTTAACTAGGCAGTGGCAGTGGACCAAGCGCGTATCCGAGGAAAAGGGCGGCAACCCCTTGTCTGAGGAGATGACGCCTCTTTCAAGCTCCTTGCACACTCCCACCCAGCAGTAATGACATGCAAGCGCTCTCTGTGGCAAAGGAATCGGGGAAAAAGAATTCAGAACGCTGAATTCTTGATTCACAAAAGCCAGCTGCCTTTATTTCTAAACTGTTCGCCTCTCCAGCCGGCGGTCCGGCCGAGAAACGCTAGCATTTCCACTGGTTCAGTCCGCAGTGCTGCAACTTGTGCAATTCCGCATTTTTTTCTATCTACCAGATATACCAGAAAACTACTAACTATTCTATCAAACATAAGATCCTGTGAAAGCATTTAAGAGTTTGCTGTTGGAATAACTCATTGGTCCCTGTAAGTGTTGCAAGTTGCGGCGGCGCTGGGCACCTTGTATCTGACGAATCGTGGAATGCACAGTTACGCAGTCAACGCTTTGAACAGAGCATACCCAAAAGCGCACAAGTTTCACTCCTGACGAAGGTGAAAGGCGATAGGACGGCCACCCCTGGGCTTGCTGCTACCATTTCTAAGGTACTCCAAGTGAAGGTACCACCAGCTCCCCTGTAGTCTCAATGAGCTACTTTACACTTTCAACATTAAGGGTATGTAAATGGCTCTCATACCCCTTTTGGGCATCGACGGCTCAGTACTTCACGTGCTTTATTCGGTGCATGTTTGCTATGCAGTATTCGTCCTAAGCCAACCTCACCGCTTACATTAAGCATGCCCTAGTCAAAACTTGGAAAGCAGACTCGGGCGGCAGAATTCGATGTGAGGCAATAGCAAAAAGGTGGAGCTGCATTTGGGCTAACTTTGGTATCAGGCCAATTGAATCACGGTTCGCGCTGTCCCAGCCGGTGTTACAAAACAAATTTAGCTGAACTGGGTTTTGGGAGTCCAAAAATCAGGAAAAGCTCCAAAAGTTTCTTTGGAAAGGATTGATAATGTGCCATGAACGGTGCTCAGATTAAGTTGAACCGCATGACACAGACTGGATAGGATGGACATACTTACTGCATGAAATTGTTAAACGTATATGAGGCACGAATGAAGCGAAACCGCTCAGCACATAAGTATTTGCTGGTTAACGTCGTACGATCCTAGCCATGGAATACTCTTACTTTGTAAGAACGGGCGCACCGTGCCACAGTTGATGCAAGTTGCCTGCACCCTCACTTCCCATGCTGGATAGAAAAAGATGCAAACAAACAAAGTAGAAATTTGCCTGTAGTGGGCACGGTGGATAATATGGCTGATCGTTGGTACATGCACTCTTGGCCCAAATAACGGTAAAGCACCACCGCCAGCTTATAACTGCAGGCACAAATCTGCGCCCCGGTCTGTGCGCTTCTGGCAGCGCACAATGCAGTGCATTACCAGCAATGCGTGCTCAAATGCCTCTGCTTCACTTTCAGTCATCAATTTTGCATAGTTATGCCCAGTCGATGCCTTGGAGTATCCATGTGAAGACGTTTTGCTCAACATCAGTTCTGTTCCGTAGCATCCAGTAGCGCTTTGCGCTGAGCCAGTTTTTCAACAAAACAAACTGCTGCCAATGCATTGGCATCTTTATCATGCAAATGCTGTCGAAACTCCGCCAACCAAGTCAAAACGAAGGAAATCATCAGCGTCAAAATCAGCGTGTCCCTGTACCTGTCTCCTTGGAGAACGCAGACACACTTAAATGGACAATCCGTTGTATGAGCTCAAAACCGTCCGGCAATGCGGCCACACAAGACTTCACTCCTGCTACAGCATCGTCCAATAGTCTCCCCATGGAAGGACCGTTGTATAACTGACAGATTAGCCACTGGCCCAACGCAGCTCCACAACCTTCACTGGCTATTAAAATACTCAGTTCAACACCAACAAAGAAAATCCACAGAGTAAGCAGTGTGCATTTGGTTGTGTTCCTCGACCATCCATGTTGAAGCTCCGCTGTCGCTTCTCTTGTGTGCAATTCCACGGCTTTCAGATGGTGCTGCCGAGGAGCCAGATTGAGAACGTCAGATTACTGTTATGCCATTAACAGGAAAATGCCATTTTACAGTTTCACTGCACGACTGGATTCGACGCACAGGGAACCCGCTGGTGACAGTCCGCCATGTGATCTGTCAGAAAAACTGTCGCGTCCTGCCTAGGCAGAAGAAACACACTGCCTGAAGATGCCGAAGCCAAAGTTCCAACAGGATTTCACGTAACTTGAATAAACCAGAAAATGCAGCAATTTGTTTGCAGGCACGTGATACGGCTCCCTTATTTAAAACAGAGACAACCAGCCTGAAATCAAAAACGAACTTAGGCGACGGGCAAGAGATACGCATAGCAAGCCAATCAACAAAGTAAAGGCTAGACTTGTATCCCACTTTCAAGCTGTTTATCTGAAAGCTTGTAGCGACGTCTCACATAGCGCCTCAAACGCAGGGCACTGTGCAGAGAGAAGTGCGCATTGCACACCGCCGCCAGGGACGTCAAGAACATGCATCCAACCATTCAGACGTCCATTGTACCAACAGAATGCCAAATATGCCAGTGTTGCTATTTACGGAGCACGTACTTGCTACAATTTGAAGATGTTGCCCGAGTTGCAGTTCACCAGCTCACCAGCTCAGACTCAGCAGCCCTGGTCAGTCCTCCAAATGCGAATTACCGACACCGACGCACTTGATTCCGGCACTGCTACAGTTTGCGTTGGAAGATACTTTATAATGGGTGAAAAGTGGGCAAAATCGCAAGAATTATCCTCCCGCCGCACAGCGAAAGCGGCCTGGGTAAAACAGTCATAAGCATACGGTGCAAGCAGCCTGCTGCAGACATACTGCTAGCACGACGGCGGTAGGCTTCAGCTATTGAATGACACTTACAGGCTTGAATCGCAGGCAATTTTTTGCGTATGAACAAGAGCTCACTCAAGGACAAAGAGGGCTTATCTGCCGAATGCAATACGGATATCCTTAACTCCTGAGTATGTAATCCCTGTAGCGTGCGCACAGAAAACCAAGCACTGCACAGCACTGCTTGGCAGTTCTGGCTCCATTTTGATTGGCATGCCAGCCAATCTTGAGCCTCGGCGTTCTTTCAGGTTACTTAGCTCTTTCTGAACAAGAAGACCTCTCCCACAGGCCCTGTGTGGAAGCAACTAAATGCATTCGCGAGGGAGCCCAGACGTCCCGTCACCATGATCCACTGCATACCAGAAGTGCACTGGTCGTAGAATTGCTGTTGAATGCCATAGCAATCCACACCATCTGCAGCTTTCACGTACTTCCTGCAGATTGTGAAGCTCGTCTGCTGCTAGGTCTAACTTTGGGCAGAGGAGAGTGTGTAGCAGTCAACAGGGAACGCTTCCAGTAGCATGTACCATGCGAAACTGTTTGACAATGAACCTGCAAGCGGCACATGGCATGGCAGTAGCTGACTGTTGCTACCACTCTGGCAAATTGCGGAGCTACCTCCCGAGTCTGCTTGCTGGCATTGCTCTGCACTAGCGTATTCCAAGTCGTCGTAATAACCAGCGAATTACGTATTCGAAAGGAGGGTCTGCATGCCCAAACACGTTGTGGAGCACTGAACGTACAGCCTGTGCAGATGACAACACTAGCACTTCCAATATCACCTTGAACCCCGCAAGCAAACCAAAGAGGCTTTCATGGCAAAAGCTTTCAACACGAACTGTCCCTGAATACTACAAGGAGGGAATTACAGATGAGCACAGCAGTAAATTCGTCGCTTTACCGACAGCGCTGCACATCATCAACCCGGGAAGCAGTCAAATTCAAGGTGCAGCAAATTTAGAAAAAAACGCCCGCAAAATGCAGTGTCACACTGCAAACGCCATTCCAGCTCCGCCGAATCATGGAGTGTCGCACCCTGCAGGCCACATGCCGTGGATTATCTTGCTAGAGACGATTTTTTCCATCCTACTGTGCATCATAAAGCGCATATAACGCACTTTCTGAGGCTGTACGCGGTAGCCATATATTGTCATTTGCCCATAAAAAAGCGCCAGAGAGTAAGTTTCCGCGAAGCACGGCAGCAACGCGGGAAGCAGTCAAACTAAAAATGCAACTAATTCAGAAAAAATGCCCGCACAACGCAGTGTCATACTGCAGACGCCATTGCAGCTCCGCCGAATCATGGAATGTCGCACCCTGCAGGCCACATGCCGTGGATTATCTTGCTAGAGAGGCGAATTTTTCCATCCTACGGTGCATCATAAAGCGCATATAACGCACTTTCTGAGGCTGTACGCGGCAGCCATACTGTCATTTGCCCATAAAAAAGCGTCAGAGGGTAAGTTTCCGCGTGCCGCATGCCAGCGGGCAAAGCGAAATACATGCGCTGACATACGGGCAGCCTTCACGAGTTTGAACACACCTAAAACTATTTCGAGTAATGACACGTGAAGAGACCACATGAAAACGCAGAGAATCGATTTCCGGCGAGGTTGTTAAAAAGTCCACTCGCGGCCATCAAGGCGCTCCAGACTGGCTGAGTCTCAGCTGAATTGCTTCAAGTCTAGTAACCCAAAGTAATGATTGTGAAGGGGCCGAATTATGGCCTCCAGTGGCCATTTGAGTCGTGCTTCACAGATGGCAACGTTGCAGCGCAACTGCAGAAGCGTGGCACGAATATAGCAAGGCAATGAATGAACGCCACCATGAAAGCGCCATGCGCTGGTCACAGAAATGCAGTGCAGCATTTCCTCCTCCGACAGTCAACTGCTGCGCTCCACGAGTAGAAGCAACGTCGCAACGAGCACTGCCCGTGCTTGCCGAGCCCACCGCTCCTGCGGGGACCACGATTGGGAAGTAAATCTCGCCCCTGGAAGTTGAAGCTATTTGCTTACTTCAGGGGCTTTGGGGTCTCCGCTGCTTGGTGCTTCAGGCTCTTCGGTGCCTTCAGGCTCCTGTGGACCTGCTGCTGCTTTTTGTTTCAGGCTGGAAAGAAATCCCTTATAGTCCACAGTCGCGAACAATCCCGACAGAAGAAGAAGAGACATAACCAGTAGCAGAATCGGTCCAGATATGCGTCTCGCAGAAGGAATTGGCACGGGAGCATCTTGCTGGCTGAGCTGTGCTCCCTCCTGTGCTGGAATTTCACTGGCTTCGGGCAGCGTGCCTACGCTGGGCTCCTGAGGGCCGACCGCCGCTTCAGCGACGCAAATAGTCACTAAGCACAGGGCAAAGAGCAAATGGCTGTTCATTTTGAACAAAAGGATGAAAATTGCATCAACGAGTGTAAAGCCCGACCAGTAGCCGCGGTGGAGAAGAGCCACTTTGTAACACCTATTGGGGGTGGGAAAAAGATCAAACCACAGTTTCAGGCAAACACTGTGGTAAGTGGGCCCAAATAAGCACATAAAGATGTCTCACGCAGTGCCAGCATGAAAGCATGCTGTAACATCGACCCCATTGGAGACATGGCGTGGGCTGTGGAGTGGGGAGAGTGACAACCCTCTGCTGCTCCACCTTTCGTCTGTCTCCTGTCGCCTGCACGGCTTTACGGACCAAAATCGTCAGTCCCTCACTCACTGAGACACATTCGGCCTACTAATCTTTAAACATGTAAATTTAAGTTCCTTAAGTTTATATATTTGTTTTGTTTCGACCTCTGGCTTGTTTCTAACTGGTTTCCCACGCAGCAGTCAAGTAGTTAGGCAGCCAACGTCCCCATTGTGGGTGTTGCCCTAGTAGAAAATGGAATGGCAGGAAGGGAACATTGACAGCCTCTTGCGATGTGCTAAATGTTAAAATGACTAAATTTAAAAAACGAGGTGAATTTTGCACCAACTACGCGTTGAAGCGTTAGCAGCCGGGAAAGATGGGGACTGGCAGGCTGTGTGGACAGGCTTAACAGCCGACGGTTAAGTAACACTCGCTCGAATTTTCTCACTATGGCATTCTAAACATGGGGCATATATGGTATAAATGTGGCTCGAGCTGAAAAACACCGTACACTGGAAATGCCACACAGCATTGGCATCTGCGGTGCGCTGCTTTCCAATGCTGATGGCTGCTGGAAGCAGCTACAATGGGGAGAAAGTTATCCTGAACGCAAAGCTGAACTTACACTTGAGTTTCTCATATATTCCATCATGGCTTCGAGACATTTTTTGCCAGCTCGTCCAATGATGCGTCGGGCTGATACGCCCGCTCTGATGTCTGCTGCAGCCGTATTCTGATATTATTGCTGTTGTTCCTGCTAATGCTGTTGAAGCTTCAGCACTTGCCGCTTTTGCTGCTGTGGAGGCCTGATTCTGCCGTGGGCGCATTCTCACCTCGGGCTCTGCTTCGAGGTCTGATTCGTCAGTAGCGCCTTACGAAGTAACTGGGTGTTGGCTCGAAATCATCTCTGTGCGAAGTTGTCGGTGCATTTGCACGCGGAGAGGGAGGTCTGCCGCGTCGTTGACTACTTTCAGTAGTTAACGTAATTGCATGCATTGTCTGGCAGCCAATTAGAGAGCTGAATTGCTTGAAGGATTCGTGTTCCATACAGCACCCAAATATACAAACGGATTAGGGTCACAAGGTCACCTCCAGACGAGCAGTGAAGACCAAGTCTGGTCATCGATACTTATCGTAGGCGTTTGTTTGCTAGGCCCTGGCACTTACGGTCCGTGCTTCGTTTAGCATCCATGGAATGGGCGTGCAAGTCTATCGCTCTTCTCTCTCTAGGTTGTTATTGTGGGGCATTTGCGAACTTCTACTACGCATGACTCTTAGAAGTCGCAACCCTGTCTTAGATTTAAGAGACCCAATGATCTTATTGGCTTCTAGCTGTTCATTCAAGCCGCCATACGCGGCTCTTTCTGTGACTATTAACAGTTTATTTGCCGAGCACTACCAGCCGAGCTGATTGCGGAGACGACACGCCGTCCCGGCAAAATTTGTCTCGATAGCCCGAGTTAGGAAGCAACAGCTGCATCAGTTCTGTTGCCTCTACAGTGTAGGGATTGGACGGCTAGCAGGCTCTACATGAGCCGTGACTACTACTGTCCTTGTTCTGTACATCAGAAATGCGAGGCGTGTGGGCTGCGCTCAAAACTGAATAGTGAATTCCCTAAGCTTCAAGCCCTTCACTCCATGAGGCAAGTGCCACTGGGAGTTAGTGGACGTCCAGCAAACTCTACAGCTTCACGGCTAAATGGGCAATTGTGAGAAAGCTAAGAGTTGACTCAGAGTCCACACGCAGCAACAGACGCTTCAGGCACAGTACGAAACTTTATGGGAAAACAACGATACTCAGACGTCGAATTGCGGATCAGGGTATTCCCAAAAGCGACACTGGACACTTGTAAAAGAGGTCCTCAAATCAATGCCCTGCTGCACCAAACGCTTGATTGAGCTTTGTGGCCAGCGCTCTTGCCACTTTTCTCTTCGAGGGTACAGTCCTTTCAGCAGTAATAGGCTCGTTTACTATGGACACTGGTAAGAAAAATTCTCGAATCAACGCCCTGCTGTACCCAGCGATAGACTGAGCTTTGCGGCGAGCACTCTTGCCATTGTTATCTGCGAGCGTACAGCTCTTACAGCAGCAATAGATTCGTTTGCCATGCACGCCTCCATGATAAAGGTTCCAGTACAATTAGAGAAATTCTTTCGTCCGTCTTGCTTCCTCTCGCGGCATTAACATTGTTACATCACACTCTGCAGTGGTCTTACCTTCCGTCGAGTTGTTAGTGCTTTATGCTCCATTATCCACAATCAGACGCAGTCGTTAGTGCTTATTGTTCCGTTGTCCAAAATCAGACGCACTATCACAAGTGAGCGGACCTAGCTAGCGGCTTGCTCCCTTGCCCATCAGCGCCCTCAGCAAATTGCTACACAGTGCAACATTTTCGTGGTGCAGCACAATACTACATGACAACAAAATCGTTCATTCACGGGGAGAATCTGCCTTCAGAGGCAGATCCTCGCTTGAAAACCTAGACGTGAAGCGGGTTTCTTCGTGTGCAAATTGCCCGCAAAAAGGAAAATAAGACGCTCCAGCTGTAAGTTGCAACTCGAAACTGTTAGCTGTGCAAGCTATTACACTTCATTTTTCCAGGCGCAATATGCTGCCTACAAATGACAGCATTTATGAGATGTACTGTGTACAGGTCAAAGTCCCCTGCAGCAACCGTTGCAGAAGCAATCGCAGAAGCTGCGGTACCTGGCCATTTGCCTCAAGGAACAAACATCAAATTTTGGAGCTCTGCCCAGAGCTTCTTTGTTCAGTGTTGCAAGCATACAAAGAAAAATCGTATCCACTACCTTCTACTTAAAAGCGCGGGAAATAACTATGTCAAAATTCTGGAGTTCTTTCGGGCCTTATGCCCATTTGCCAATCCAAAGGGCTGGCTAGCCGGCGAGTGCGCTCGACAGGGACATCGTTACGACAATGTGAAGGCACCTTGTCCCTCCTCTAGGGCAAGGAGAAGCCTCTCTTTAAGGATTTGCTTGGAAGAGTAGTTGGGCAATTTTATGTAATTGCTGCAGGTCATCACACTCGGCAAAAGGCAATCGATGGCCCCACCGCCAGACGCCGGAGTCTTTCTAACAACCTTCATCAACGGACTGCGGCAGAATGAACAGAAAGAGTCACCAAAAGCAAAACCATGCAAGACTGTTCCCTAGGGTGTTTTCCTGAAGAGTTGCGTGCACGTTGCTTTACCGTCATACGCAAATCCGAGAAAATACACTTGAAACAAACGTAGCAAGCAAGGCGGGCACCAACGAATCCATCAAGCAGTCTTTCTAGCTTTCCAGCCAGTTGAAACGCTGGCACTTTGTAGAGACAGCACGCGAGAGGCAAACGTGACTGAGAAACAGCAGCAATGGAGCGTCTGCGTGCAGCGCAGGAATCTAGTAGGCTAACTGCCCATAAAGCTAGAAAGAAGGCCAGCTGTTAAGCCAGCTGAGAAAAGTTGCCTCACCGAAACCCAGCGAATCCACCTGCTGGCAGAATTGTTGATCCCGTGACAAACTTGAGGAAAGCCGCACGCTGCGAAGGGTTGAAGTCCACCAAAACCTCCAAGAAGTGCCCATACACAGCACTCGACGTCGTAAATCTTGCGGGCAAACGCAACAAAAATAACCGCGCATGGAAAGAAGTCCGGCTTGCCACTTTGCATGGTATGCGCCTCAGTTTGAATTGCCAGCTATCTTCTACTGCTACATATAATCCTTGCGTTGCTACTTGCGGTGCACGCAACCTCCATGTTCACTGTCTACTCTCCTCGACCTGTCTATGTAACTTCCCAAGTTTTCGTTTTGTATAGCCTGCCACGTGCTCGTCTACCCCCATCTCTGTCTGTTTGTCGCCTTTATTTCTCTCATCGTCCCCTCCAGCTGCCCTCTGCCCGCCACTCTCAGTTTCTAACCAAGTGACCCCTCTCCCTGCATGTTTCTGCGTTCACCACCTTTGGATCGATAACTATTCAGCACTCACCCATGGTCCGGAGCAACATGTGCCCTAAGGTGGGACAGCGTCCAGAACCTATCCTGTCTCGTTCTCTCTCTATCTCCAAACAAAACTGAAGAAACCTCCATCGGCAACAGCGGCGAAAGTGCGAAGAGCGGGCAGAAAGAACCGAATCCCAGACGAAACGCAGACGCCTAAGCAGACAAATGGAAAAAACGGCACACGCCTACGCCCGTAATCTTGGCAGATATTAAAGATGAATAAGCCATTGCTTCCTTCATATGCGTATTACGTCTGTCCAGTTGAAACTTGAATAAAAAAGCAAACAATTGCATGCACGCCGCAAGGCGTACCTGCAGGAAGATGCCTTCACAAAGAAGCACGAAAGCCAAGCGCTGGATGAAAAAGTCCAAAGAAGCGTTTGAGACAAATATGTTTTCACCGCCTTCAACAAGTGGCCCTCCACCATCCTCTGAGGCACCAAAAACAGCTGTAACAACTACAACAGTAACTAAACCAGCAATTCGTGCCGGACTTGCAGCAGCAACGCTTACTGGTACTTCACTCGTAGCCAACCCACATGACAGCAAAGCCACACAATTCAGTATCAAGCCCCACACACACTGCTACGTATTACCGCGTGCCCATAGCGCCACTGCATCGCCACCTACGTGGAATCACAAACGAGCATGCCATATCCTTGACCTCATGTCCATCTGCACGGTGCTGGAGCATCTGCTGTAGAGACCTCCCCAGAGCTTCGTCAATTGCCGCAACAGCAGCAACAGCAGCAGCGGTCCC